CCTTGCGACTTGGGCACATCGCGGCATGGGCACAACTGAATGAATCTCTTGAATTTACGACACCAAAGCGCCACATTTGCTAAGCCGCCGCATAAACAACGCTGCGACGTGCCCGTGAATTGCTTACCGGTGCACGTTTCTCCGAAGACGCATCAGCGTCATCGCCATCTAGGCCTATGTTTTCTGCCGCGAGGCATCTGTCAGGCTTGTTGACCCCCTCTGTGTTCCCTTTGCCCGTTTGCGCTGAGCGCACCACGGGGAAGCAGCCCGTTATTTGCACATGTATCTCGTTGTCCTCGTCATCTTCGCCACACGAACATTTTTCCTTCTCCTTGTTTTCGGAAACCTGCTGCAGCATTTATCGAATCAATGCACAGACCAACAGAACACAGGAATGTGGTAGCAATTGGGGCGTCCACCGAAAACTCGGTTGTTTAGTCCACTCCCGCCCCCGCTTTCCATTGGTTTTGGAATACTCCCTTGTGGCAAATTGCGGAAGGGCTTTTGTGCCCAGAAAAGATGCGTATGCTGCACTTGCAGCTTGCAAGGCCCACCCACGCGCCGAAATCTGAGAGCCACATTTTCTAGACAGCCCTTATGTGGTATAGGTTCACCATATAGGGGCACAGCGCATCAGACCGACCTAGCCGTTGATGCTGCGACTGTCGCAATAGATCACCCCAACGGCAGCGTGCTTTGTGGAAATATCGCGGCAATAAGGAGGACGCTATGTTGATTTGGTACGCTCAGCGTGAATTCGACGCTAAGCTCGGACACAGCCCGTGTGTGTGTGTTATTGAGGTGTGAAGATGGGGGAATGAACGCTACCTAACACCCCTCTTTAGCGCCAATCTTTTTGTCGATGCAGGGACTGAGAAACGTTACCTGACGGTGGCATACAACATTTAAGAGGTTTTGAGGGCAAGAGAAAACGAATTTTGCGCTGATTTTAGTCGCTTGGAAAATGGAATCCTAAATGCTATTATAGGCGAGACAGAGAGCATCAATTGCTGCAAATTGATTCATTCTAAGACTTTCTTTGACCATCGAACACTTGCAGGAGGCGTAGGAACAAAACACGGGGTGTTCGCTGCTTACCGGTGACGCTTTTGGACATTTTCTTTGCTTATGTCGATTTTTTGGCAATTGCATAATCTCTTAGCGTCACAGGTATGGACCCGCCCCAGCGTCAATTTGATGCTAAGCGCATCAAAATCGACATAGAGTCTTCCATTAGCCTATGGTAATTTGATCCTGACCAATCTTGCTGATAATAACTGCAAGAACCACCAAATAGTTAGGAAGCCTCACCGCAGCGAAACACCGCCATTCCAACATCCTAGATCCCAGTTTCAATAATCAGATCATCGACGAGCGGATCCGGTCCTTGGCGCCGCGAGAGCAACAGGCCGCGTCTATCACCTTTGCATCAACATCTGTGGGCATTGCTCCTTCAGAAGCGGCCTGCATACCACCCGCTGCGGTCGAGGCGTCTTGTTCTTCTCCGCAGGTCGACCTTGGACCTGCGCCGTTTCCATCACCCTCCCCTCCAGTTTCCCGTACTGCCCATGGCGAGGGGATCGATGCACCTCCCAAACGGACGCCATCAACATCAGTGATTTGCAGCGGCAGCTGCAGTACGGGTGGCGTCAGAGCATCGGACGGCTCGATGCACTTCTTCTGAGGCTGCCATTCGCAGACCTCGCTTTCCTCGTTGCGCATGACCGGCACCCCCTGGCAGCGCGGCACGACACTACCGAGATTGTTGGACTGACTGCACGTCGTGAACCAATGTGTGGCAGCTCGTGGTGATGAATTCGAACAATTGAAACGACTATTGCACGGTAAGTACTGGTGGATATAAAATCGCAAAAATTGCAGCACTGTGAGGCAATGATTGGCGGCATGTGCCACAGATGGCACGCTTGTATGGGGACTATCGTATCATGTTCGCTCCCAGTCCCCGGAATCTCGGTCTGTCGTCCGTCGCGAAAGGGATGAGCAAATAGCCAATGATGGAGCTGCAACCTCCAAACCCGATACATTGTGGTCATTCCCGCCCGTTCTGCTGACCTGGAGACGTTCTTTGAATGCTATCTATGCAGAAATTTATAGATGGGACGCTTTTTGTATGCATTGTAGCATGTTGTTGAGTGTGTTGAGATTCATGGACGACGCGAAGCAATTGTCAGAGGGCTCCGCGGTGTGGATCCCTACCGACGCAATCTGTAGAAAGTCGTTTGCGCAGATTTCAGGGACAATAATAAATCCGATAGCTGCGTACCGCAGAATGAAGAATGTGCTGGAGACTGCTTTGCGTCGAGCACGGGTCCGAATCTCTCTGCAGTCCCTGCTTGGTAAATGAACAAAACCATCAAGGGATGCAATACACGCAACAATGTTTCACGTGGATTTAATCTCTTCGGTCCTCTACTGCGCCTGGAACAACCCTTTTGCAAAAGTGGCACAAGTAACGTAAAGCACTAATCCTTGCACCACTTTCCAGAAACAGGCTTTTCTGGGTTGCGCCTGGCCGAACGCATGGGAACCGAGGATGAATGCAGCAAACCGACACGTGTGACATGGCAGTCCCGCCCAGATTTTTGCTCGCATCCCTTCCCCCGTGAATCCACCCACCCCGGCGAGGAAACTCAACGGTGCGGAGCACGAAGAAACGGCACGCACACTGCCGATTCCCTCTGCTTCAGAAATGGCCAGGAACCCTGGATCGGGGCGGCGGGCTATGACTTTTGACAACCAGGGACAAGTCTTTGGCAGGACGCAGTGTCTGCAGGGCGGGCCATATATAGCAGCCAGCATCGCGAACGCGCCATCGCACAGCGGCGCCAGAAGTGGACACCCGGAGAGCGAACGCACAGTTCACGATTCAGGGAGCGCAATCGGGCCAAGATGCGTTTTGACCTCGTCAGCAAACTGCTGTCGCGCTGGCCGGGCTCGAAGACGCTCGACACCCTAGTGCTCCGAAACGCCCAGGGGCTGCTCGCTTCCCGAATGCAAGAATGCACGCAGGGTGCACATTGGCGCGGCGAGTGTGGCGACCCACTTACTTGACTGGCGTCGGCAGACACTCGAGGCTCCCCAAGCAGGTCATCCGCACGCCCGGCCATGGGGCCGCGAGCCTGGTCGAGCCGAATGCGCCGGTGGCCGCGCCTCAAGGGACGGCGGCCTCGTGTGAAAATGAACGAAGCGCGAGGGCGAATGACGTGAAGGGGCGATCGGAAGTGCCCCCCGGGTCAGGCCTTAAGGACCGGTCAAGGTGAACGTGGGGATGAAGATGGGAAAGAAACGAGAGCAGCGCAATGAAGTTGCGCAATGGGCCTGATGGCGTGGGCGAGGATAATGCTTCCGAAGAAACTGGGAAATCATCATCGCTCATTTTACACAAGAAACTGGGAAACCTAACCTAACCTAACCTGGACGAGCGCGGATCGCAATGAAAGATTCGCCATTCGGCTGTCGGCGTAATTGCGAACATTTTCACGATTACGATTACGAATGTTTTTCGTTTTCTGGGCTAAAATAGGGAGCTGACGGGTGCCCCTTTGACTTGACCTGCGATGCTTTTGAGAAGTGCTTCAATTGTTCTCCATGAGAAGGGCCGTGCACTGGTGCTTGTGGTGAAACCGCGTGTCCGAAATGGGTTGAGAGCAACATTGGTTTTTGAAGTTCAGCTGATTTGTAATTCAGCTAATAAATCAACCAACATACACTTCAGCAAGCGCATCTTTCCGTGCATGGAATCAGGTAGTCGTGAACGCAAGTATGTTTTCCAGTGCGAAGCACACTACAAATATATACTTGGCTAAGTGTGCGGAAAAATTGGGACAACCGCTCAATCTTCAGATTGTGCATCTTGCCTGAGCCAGATGCCATTCAGTGAAGGCAGCACAGGCATGGGGCTCTAGAGTCATGCGGCTTTGAAATCCTATAAAACGCATTTCTATTCAGTTTCTGAAGCTGCATTGAAGAGAAGGAATCGCGACCACTCAAGCACCACATTTTGCACGAACCTTAAGCAATGGGCTCCCGAATTCCAGAAGTATTTGCTTCGTGCCTTTTGTTACTGCAAAGCATAATAATTTTCTTCACCTGTGAGGAATATGTGGGCAATTCTCACATATTCTTGACATTCTTTGTTTGGCTGTTTGAAAATGCCTCTCGATCAGACATCAGATCACATGCGCCTTGAGTCGCATTGCAATACAACGAATAACGGTGCGCTCGCCATACTGTTGACTGCTATTGAATAACAGAAGAAATACAGAAACCGATAAATCCAGTTTATTTCTGTAAAAACTGAGAGGCAAGTTGGACACAGAAGCAATGAACACCACACCTGTGACATATTTGTTCGTAAAAAACACAGGAACTGGCCAATCCTACATTAAAATTGACCCGACAGCAAAATTCCTATAAAAAGGCCATACATAGGGGTCCTGCAATTCTCATGTCGAAACATCATGCATAGGAAACATAAGTATCCTCATTTTTGACAGCACGTCGTGATCTTGGATTGATTCGCCCACGAGCGATGGCCACAAACACGCATGGAGTGCTAGCGCAAGGAAACGGGTGCTGGTAGATAGTCGAAATTTAGACAAGATCAAAATTGCATGCGCTATAAGCAGATCTTTAGCTCATACATTCTCTACAATTGCGGCACCCTCGGAGGGCCCATCGTGATAACTGCTGTGGGTACAGCACGCATAGGAAACCCCACAGCAGTGCCGCCAGCAACATTGCTGCAGGCGCATGTTCGTGATCGACCACCTCTCATGCGTCGGCAAGATCTCTGGGTTGGGCATCCAGGCGACCAACTTTGTGATGATTGGCTGGGACCCTGCGCTCGTAATGAAGCTCATCAAGATCCTCCCTCGGCACGGCAACAAGGGCGTGACTTGACAGTGGGGCGGGGTTGGGCTTGGCGCCACTTCGGGCTTTCTTCTCGCTTCGTTTTCTCCTCCATATCTGATTTGCCTTCATCGCTTGGATGACGTGGTTTCGAAACAATTCATGCCCAGAGCTGTGGAGTCAGTGGCCATCCCTACAATGCGCACATATGCCTCTAAGCCATGAATCCCTTCCACTCAAGCCATTTACTTTCCCCATTGACAGTAGTACAAAACAGGCCAAAATACATGAGTTTGAAAATCGTGTACCGTGTAACACGACAAAAAATCGTTGAAAAATTGTGATAAATCGTGTTCTTATAGTGGATTTATCGTACTAAATTGTACCAGACCATGCAGTAACGGTTGAGTGAGTATACATGATTTTTACAAGCTTGGACACGGTTTTACACGAATCTTACTCAGCTTGATACCGTGTATTTTGGCCGATTTTTTATTTGTGCTATGGCCGTGCACAGAATCTGTTAGGGAGCAGCGAGACTCTGATGCTGACCTTCATCATCACCATCAACCATTTTCGCAGAACAAGGCGATGAGGTTGCCGTCAGCTTCCTACTCCGCCCGAGCAAAGCAGTGTCTATGATCAGCCCATTACATTCTAATGTATAACACAAACAAAGTCTAGGAATCTATGAGCTCCTGATTCCAAGAAGCATTTGTCGACAACAACACATCAAAAGGATTGCCATGCCGACCTTCAGTCCAGTCGCCGAATCCGGCAGCTCTCAAAACGTGTCGGAACTGCTCATCGAGGCCGGCTGTGATCGTCAGCTGCTCATTCGTCACGGGGTGCTGGAGCGCCAGCCGCCGCGCGTGCAGCATCAGCCGCGTGGCCCCAAGGTTCTCCCTGGCCGCCTTGTTCTGCTGGTTGTCTCCGTACATCGTGTCCCCGATGATTGGGTGGCTGATTTTGGCCATGTGGCGGCGCAGCTGGTGGCGGCGCCCAGTCTGGGGGGTGAGCTCCAACAGGGTCAGCCGCACGGTGGAGTATCTGCCAGCGGGATAGGGCACCTCAGCGTGCGCAAGACTCCTGCGAACGAGGAAGGTTGTCGGGTTGACTGGAAGCGAAGGAGAAAACAAGATTGGGGACAAGGGCGCTGAGTGCACGAGGCATTGCTGCAGTTCCTGTTGCAACATCTCGTCGGCACTCTGCAACCCCAACTGAGGCAATGACGTTGTGCGGCCCCAACGAGGGTTGTACGCGAAAGGCAGAGTGTGCTTTTGGCACACCTGCGGTCGAGGAGAGCATTTGGCACCATCGACCAGGGGCGTCCTGCTGTAGTGTCTTGAACGTGGAACTGTTTTTTGCGTGCAGGATGTGGATCTCACCATACAAAACTGCGATTCTCGCGGCATGAGCGCTAACTGAAAATCGCCTCATGTGTGCTGACAGCACGTTCTCATCATCGTCATCGGCGGTTCGGCAAGAATTTCGGGCCCCCTTCTACTCCCTCGCTTCCCAGAAAAAAGGAAAACACGAAACTGAAGCCACCCTCAAATCAACGACGAACACCGTTCGTGTCACAATACACCCCCCCCCCACCCACCCACCCACCCACCTGTAGCACGTCCTGGCGTCCTGCAGCTCGGCGCTGTCCGCGCCACGTTTGACGTTCCTGTCGCGGATGACCCTCAGGGGCAGGTCCACGGCGCCCTCCCCACCCAGGTGGCCCCTCACGACGGCCAGGTACTCCTTGCGCACCCTTCGCTCCGCGAAGGCGTTGTACAGCGCTCTGACAACCTCGCTGGACAGCGCCAGCAGCAGCACGCCCGACGTGGGCTTGTCCAGCCTGTGGGCCAAGAAGACGTCGCGGCCGACCTGAGGAACAGCCAATCCGTCTGATTGCATTCATCAAATGTCGGTAGGACACCGCCCTTGCGCCTTCATGGCGAGGGCGGGCCCCGAGGCAGAGGCCTGGGTCGCGAGGGGCCATGATGCGCCGGGGACGCCTTGGGGGTGGGAGGGGCAGTTGATTAGATGGGGATTGGGTGGCAGGGCCCGTTGAGTGGGTCTTTGCAGCAGACACCGCACGCACAAAGATGCGCGCATTGTGCTCATCACCGGGGGGATTCAGCCACCGGTTTTTGGGCAGTCGGCAGCAATTTGGGGACAGTCATCTTGGAGACAACTCGCGTCGGCAACGTCGCACCCCAGTAGGCAATGCATCCACGATTGGGTGATGCATCCACGGTCGGATTTCTTGCCAGCCCCACAATCAGGGCGCCAGCGCCTGGGGACATTTTTGCTCAGCCGCCGCGCCAGAAACGTGCCCTCCTGGCTGGCGCACCTGATCCCTGGCGGCCTGGAGCGCGAACTCGCGCGCCGACCGGTCGACGGCGCTCCTGTGCGCCAGCAGGCCGGCGGGCTTGGACACCGCCACCAGGTGTTCGTCTTGGAACAGCACTTCCAGCTGCGGCAGCCGAGGTGAGGCCATGGGCCGAGTCGGCAGGCGGCGCCGGCCCACGACGGCGGCTGGAAAGCACAGCGAAGGGATGGCTTTGCGTTGGCGACCGACCTCGTGCGAAACTTGTGAGGCACCGTGGCAGGCCACCGCCCAAACACTGCGCGGAAAGCCGCAATTATTTGGGATTTTTTCGGCATTTATCGGCATTTTTTGCGCATTTTTTGCGCTGTTTTTGCGCACTTTTGTGGATGTTAGGCGCATTGTCTGTGCGTGCCTGCGGTGCAACGGCGCCAGGTTCTACGACATGTGGTCTATCGCACTGCACATGCCATATCGGTATAGGCAACAAGTGGCTTCCTAACGTACTTCTGATCAGTTGATGACACCAACAAAAGGACAACAAAACGAGGGGGGGCTTGGTGTTCCGCAGCAGTCAAAACTGCTGTATACATGGGTCACGCTTGGCCGAGCCAATGTGCAAGGATGCGCACCAATACTCCTGAATACACCCGTTGCCTTTACACCAAAGAATACTTTTCGATAACAGCACATACAATGCGCAGAAAGCTGGAGAGAATTGATTAATCAGAGGCTCCACAGGATATGTGGCCGTTGTGGGGTACTTCCCGTCCTTTCTAGCTCCTCGGCCCCAATTCAGGGACAGCATGTTTCAGGATCCATACTTAGCACTTCCCCGACACCAAACCAGCGGAGTTCCACCTGCAGCAAGTACTGTACAAAGGCAGCCGAACAGCCCACACAGATCACTTTATCTGCCGCAAAACCAAATAGCCAGCCTGTTCCATTCCTGCTGTGATATGTGGTACCAAAAGCAGTTCGATCACTACAATGCACATTGTCTAAGCCTATGTTGTCAATGTCAACCTGGTCCAGCCCAGGAGTTCAACCTGCAGTTCCAACTAATTCGCCTAACCCTCGGCCCAGTGCCAGGCAAAAACCACAGCTTTGTTCAACCAAGCTACTGCTATGTCAGGACAACAGGTGCATTCCCATCTTCACAACCACAATCCATATCTATTTCTATCGTTTCCACAGGTCGAACTGTTCCCATACACACTTGCCGTGAGGAGATAGGTGATGCACACAATGCTGAAGGGTCACGACTACTTGAAGGCCCTTCTCCAGGCTGCCTTGGACTATCAAGGCACACAGTTTCAGGACCCCGGCCATTTGCAGGTCCGGCTGTGGGCATGCTCGCATTTTCCACAACCCTGTGCTCAGAGCCCCCGCCATTCGAGAACCCCACAGAAGCAAGTTTCGAGCTGCTGGCATTTGGAGCACTGACACCCCAACCTCTTGAAGACGTTGCTGCATTCAGCCTAAACCCACCATTATGAAAACCCCAGCCACTTGAGGAGCCTGCTGCCTGCAGCGTCATTCCATCAGTGGGCGGCTTTTCGTCTCTTGCAGACCACGTTGGCACCTCGTCCGTGAGGTCACAAACTTCCACCGTTTGATCCTGATACTTGGACCAAGGGTAATTTGATGGGCGCTCCTGTAGGTCCCAAAGAAAGATCAAATAAGAGGCAACTGATCTTGGTGGGCCCACACCCTGAACGCCTCCATGTCACAAGCCCAGAATGTTGGGGGCCAGTGCACAGTGTTGCAAGGGCCCCAAAGGTCTTGCAAGAGCAAATGACCACACGTGACTCTGCCAGTATGGCACTTTGCAAGCACTTGCACATCAATTTGCAGTCGCATGGACATTGACGCATGTGGGAGATGTGGAGCTGTGATAGCTGCCTCCTACCTAAAGCTGCACTAAAGAAAAGGAACCAAGTATGAGGAACCACCCCCAGGTGCCACCATTTGCAAAACAGCAGGCACTTGTGGGTTATCATTTCAATAGGCCTTGCTCTACGGGTGGCTGTTGATTTGCATGTACATCTGGGCATGGAGCTGCAAAAGACAGTGACATGGCACAACATTGTGTCGATTCCCCAGTCAACAGGGCAACACGCCATAGCTCCCCGAGCCAATGATAAACAGATGCATTTTGGGAAGAAAGGTCCACTATTGCAAGGGCCGGATGCCACAGCTATGCATCAGAATGCTCTCTGCAATCCCTTCAATTCGTTCGCATGCAAAACCTCATACTTGACTCATGGGCTGCGATCTGTGGCTGAACTCATGCTTCACTTCCGCCTGCCGTCCCCTTGCTCTCGTCGATGTCAGACTGTCACCACCAGAAGGCAGCATATGCTCAACTTCTGCAGCCACATGGGAACAAAAAGTGAAGGAAAGGGCAGAAACATGGCTAAAAGTTACATAATTTAGTGGATAGCAGGGCAGCCATCTCATAAATGGCGAGCAATGGGCCCACGATACCAAGATGAGTGCAGCTGCACTTTCAAAGGGGCAGAATGCCGCTTCTGCTGTAGAAGATGAGCACAAAATCACTTGTTCACACTTCTCAATAGTGCAAAGTCGTGGCCAAGAACGAGATCTGTAGACATAGGTTCAAGCAAGGGAGATATGTGTAGATATAGGTTGAACAAAAGACCCAACAGCTTCCATTGGACGCCGAAGCACCAGTGCAATGTCAAAATAATGCTGGCAACATGCAATTCAAGAACCAAGCGCCACTTTTTGGACAATCATCTGTTGCAACCAGCTGAACTCGCAACTGGTGAAAGTTCTGCGTTCAGTTGCACAATTCAGCATTCCCCTTCCAGTCTCTGCGGCAATAGATCAGGAATTATGACAGAGGTTGAGGCAGCCATACCTCAGGTAGGAAAGGGCACAACACATCAATGCACGTTTCAGTGAACAAACAGATGGTGTTGGCCAACAGTCATGAAATTCAGCGTCCACATCAGCATACCTAGTTCTCTTGTAGCTTCATCCAATATCATCTTGTGAAAGATGTCCTTCGGATCTAGGATGCCCCGGAGCATGAGTGCCCCTGCAGTGTCATACTTTAGTGTCTTCGTCTCCAATGGAGGGCCCACCTGGGTGCAGGCATACACTCACACATTGCCTGAGGTGCAGACAGCCAATCCACAAAAGGCAGCAAAGCCACAAGTGGGCAAGAACAGTGCATTGCAGAAGAGCCATTGTCACAGGTGCAACACAACTGGATGCAGTTCCGTATCTGCAAACTTCTCAAACTTCCACAAGATGCATGGAGACGATGACCATCGGACATGACTAAACTAAACTCTCCTGACCAGGTCAGTTTGCAGGGCCACGTGTTGCCATGGGCAGTTGCCATGTGACATTTTGACTTGCAGTTGTCACAAACCCTGCATTTCAATGCAGCCACCCCATCCAGAGCACAAGCACTGTTTGAAACAAAGTGGCAGGCCCTTCAGCAACCTGAGCTGTGCTTGTCCACAGAGCCCTGCAAGTTGACTCAGTGGGAAGGTCAGACACCAACTCCCATGCCAGCGAAACAGTGCCCAAGCCCTGCAAGTGTTATCCCAGGGGCTCACCATTCTCCCAGGAGGCAACCTGCCCCCAAGGGCCCTCCGTGTCTTGAAGAACGTTTCCCCTGCATCGGTGCCCAGACTGGAACCCGTCTTCTTCTCCACACTCCTGTTGTAGGAATGGTTCCTGTCTGAGGCCATCGAGCCCCACAGCCGCTGCGTTCGGCGCCTGGACATGAATCCCTCTCCCCTTTCATACTCAAAGACTTGCAGCTTAACGGTGCCCACGCCGGTAGGCGCATCCACAGAACGCGTAATGCACTCGTCTGACCGATCTTGCAGCTTGCAGAAACAGAATCTCGCATACTCAACTTGCACATCTGCGGATGAAACCTCACCTGCAGCCAGATAGCTGAGAGCTTGACACAAATCCACAAATCCACCCTGGCAGTGTTGCTGGTGGTAGCGGGATTGCATGTAAGTGCACGCATAGTAGCACAAGCATTCCTTGCAGGAGGTGGTGTTACAATACATGACCTGCTGTCTGGGAAAACTGGTATTTCGACTGACAACAAAATTCTCACAAAAAACACCCCTTCATCGGTTGACCAAGGGCACTTGGGACCTCCTTTTCAGCGGACTGCGTCAAGCTGCATTCCATGGATAACACGCTACCCGACTGTTCATGAATACATTGTTCAGCAACAACTCCGGGCACGCAACATAGAACAAGGCATTGTCATCACCTGCAGTTCTGCAGAGCAGCCATGCCCACAGGAGGAAATGACGAGACTAACGAATGCAAAAACGCCGATGGAGCCCGCGGCTGAGAACAACGGTAAACAGCAGCATACCTCTTGAGACCATCCAACCATCAAAAATAACTTCGCAGCGTTCTGCAGGGTAGCCAAGGAGATCCCGCACTCTAGTGTATCCCACAAATTCGCCGTCGACCTCCAACACGAACTGACCCACGGGCATACAAAACACACAATGATCAGAATATCATGGGGGCCAGTGGTCAAAACCCTGGACGCCGACACGGGAGGCGATACTGACAGGAAAATTGGATTCTGCGCCCACCTGATTTCTGCAAACTGGACTGCGGGCTGGACTTTGGACAGCTTGACTACGACAGGACAAACGGCGATGCACCAATGCAGAATGATCCAGCCCTCAGCTGCCGATCCATTGAGTTGGCAAAGAATTTGATCCGGGATCAAGGCGGCTTCCTGGTGATCGAGGAGTGCCACAGACCGAAAACGAGAACAGTCGACGCAGTCCAGATCAAAACCCCTAGGCGACGATGCGGCTACGCAAAAGCAGCCCTCAGAGACCCTCGCTCAGCGCACTTCCAATTGCTCAGGCCCGGCCCCCCCTATCTTGGCATCCACTCGCGTAGTTGGCGCTCCGATTTTCGGCAGGAGTGAAACGGCCGCCACTCACGCTGACGCTCCCCATCTCATGCTCCGGCGGCCATGACACCTTCACTGTGAATGCCTGCCCAGGTCGGCCCGCCACATAGCGCATTCCCCCATGGTTCACAAAGGGCAGGTCCACGCCGTCGCTGTCCAGCAACGCGACGTTGAAGGGGCCCTCCGGCGGTAAAGCCATGGCCGCAGCGGTGCCCAAATGCCTGCCGGCGCCTGCTCACGAGTGTTCAGGGAAGGGAAGGGCGTGGCGGGCCGCCCTCGAGGTCGACAGGGGGCAGACAGGGCGGGTAGGGGGCGCCCGCCCGTGTGTTGTGTCCTCGAAACCGGGGGATACCGTTCTGACATGCGACCTGAAGATCTGAACAGCGAGGCGGCTGCGTGGCAGGGGAACTGACTAAAGTACGACGGGACCACCACCGTACTGGCGTCCAATCCAAGGCATCCAAACCACATTTCGACAGGCCCTGTTCGCCCCCCTCCCCGGGGAAAAAGTTAACTATTGCTGGTGCACAAACAGGACAATCACTGGGTATACTGTTTGTTTGTTTGATTGTATTGATTGTATTGGTATTGTTTGTATGTTGTTTGCTTGTTACATGGATGCATCGACATGAAGTCACTGCGTCGATCAATGTAGCATACCAATCCAGTGTGCGAGGGGCACGTCCAGGACCACCTATGCCTCCGAAAACACGCTCCCGATGGTGGTCGCAGCTGCCTCCCATCCCCCCCAAAACACCCCGACAAATAGTGGGTATGTTGGTGTGTTGGTGTGTTGAGCAGGCGGCCCACAGCATCCGCCCCTGGCAAAGGCCGGTATGTGCTGCAAACGGTCATGGAACACGATGTCAAACCCTGACGGCTGTCAGGACCCTTGAAACTTGCCGGCTAGGATTGCTTCCACTATACTGTTAGGGCGGTCACATAATGGTACACAAGCATCATAACATTAATGGAAGCAGTATGCAGGTGTACTTGTAAGATGTTGCTGATGCGTGTGTACCCAATGCTGGGTTGGGAGCATGATCTCTTGGCCTGCCGCAACAGTGCTTCAGTACAGTGGAAGCAATCCGAGCCACCAAGTGTCAAGGATTCACATCTGTGCCCGCTTGCTCCAAATACGCAGTGGACTTCAGGTCGGCCCCGGAAACATGCTTCGTTGACAGGAAAGCGGGGACAACATCCAGGAATTGCAGCCAAGCGATGCTGCTAAGCTAGGCTAGGCTAGGCTAGCGATTGTGCTGGGAAGGAATGGTTTGGTGCGCCAATCATGTCCACCTTTGCCTAGCAGGTGTGCAAATTTGTTGCAGGCCATATCAAACGAATGGTTTTTTGCATCGGCTGAATGACAGTCTGTCTTGGAAGTGGCGGTCCAACGCCGCACTTATGGAAACAGTGTAGCCCCGTCAAGCTTTGGCATTGCCATTTTGAAACATACACCCTGTCAGTAGCAGTATTCTTCTGAGGCGATAGAGCGCCCTTCTTGCACTATGTTACTTCTGGGAAGTTCAGCGGGAGCCTGTAGCGTACCCATTGCCCTCAAATGATGCCAGTTGTTCGGTACGTTTCGTACATCCATCAGAACGTCGCTGCAATGCAATGAGCACACATTTGAGGCTGGAAGAGGCACACTCCATTGAGGTAACGCTTGTCCCCAGCTGCCGTGAAACAACTTCACGGTAACGTAGCCGCTTGGGGAACCTGTAGCAGACGTCCGAACTCCAGGATGTCACACTGTGCGCCTTGAACAGACACCCGAGCTCCGAAGTGTGACGGACGGCCACGCAACACATGTCACATCGCCCCCGCAGCCTTCCGCAGAACTCCTCAGCCCATCAGTCATTGCGCAACATCGGAAGCCACGGTCTGCGGCCCCCTTCCGCCAACAAATTGCGTCAGTTCCCCAGTACTGGAGGTCCCTCGCACCAGGACATGACCGCCCAATCTCCACCCGATGACATGAGGCCTCTCGGGCTGTCCGTTCGTGTCGCGTCAAGGTGATGTTCACGGGGAACGCCACACCCATGACGCCACGCCACCCCGCCTGCAACGGCGCCCTCACGATGTGTTATGTGAGAAGCACCGCGCCTCGCACCAGCATTGCTGCCAGCCGGTCCATCCCCGCGCCCACCGGGACCGCCTCCACCCCAGCGCCCCCAGGCAGCCCTCCTGCCTCGCGGTGGCATTTGTGAAAGTGCCAGGGGCGACAGAAGCCTTCCGCGCCAGGTACACGAAAGCCGATGCCGGCGAGGGACCCGATGTGGGCCGCGAGTCCGATGGGCGGCGTCTCGCCGCTGGATCTTGCTTTGGGCCTCGGTCCCCTCTCGTGCTGCTGTGGCCCCGTCGCGCTATGGACCCGACCGTTCTCCACGGTGGGAGCAAGGCGCAGCCGGTCGGTCCCCATCGCGGGGCAAGGTGGTCCTGCTTGCGGATCCTTGGCGCTCCCGGACTTGGGCACCCGGCACCGCGGCAGGGGCGCGGAAATGAAATCTCGAAGCCGACAACGGGTGATCCGTGCCTGTCTAAATCCGAATGCCGGAGCGTTTGCCGCGGGGTGTCCGGGCTGCGATTTCGACAAGCCCTCGATGGCTAACGGGCTCTTGATTCCTCGCCCACAGGAACCGTGAGAGCCAGTGTCGAGGCGAGCGACTTCGCAAGCGTCCCCTCCAGGATGGGCCACGGCGCGCTTCGCTGTCGGGCCGCCGCGGCTCTGCTGTGCGTCTTGGGTTGCCTGGCCCTTGCCTCTGCTGGGTGAGTCATGCCATCTGGATTTCGTGGTTGTTGAATATTGGGACAATTTTAACTTATTTGTCCGAGAGAAGGTCAAACTCCAGAGAAGGCGTCTCAACAAGGCACATCACAACGAAACAGAAGGAAACGCAAACACGGGGGCGAATTCGCTGCAGAACTCAGGGCTTTAGGGAACCTCTGCGTTTTTGGCGGATGTGCTCGTTTCATGCCAAGACGATGTGACCGTCACTGTGCTCGGCAGTGCTCATGGATGTGGCGGATGGGGTTGGAAGGAAAGTTTTGCACAGTGGACTGCACTGGACTCATTCGCTGGATCTGCGGCTGTGCAGGGGCTTCTCAGATTGTGTCGCGGTCCCATTCGTAAACAACGACAACTTGGACGTTGAGCGAAACGTGCGAGGTGGGGTGACGCCTCGTCCGTTGATTGCACCTCTCGCGGCATGCTGAAGGCTGTGGCAACTTTCCAAGTCCGTCTTTGCCCATGTGCGGGCAAGTGGGCTCCGCCACGTCAGCACAAGTTTGCCCTTTCGCTGACGGGATGTGTTTGTCCGCAGCTGCCAGCGCCCGCCTCCACATTTGGTCGCTGCTCGTCGTCGTGCGTTGACGCAGACTGTTTTATTGCTTTGTGTCAGATGCATCGATGCTGTCGTGGGGTCGGAGTTTGCTGCAGACGGACGTAGACACGGTGAGGCCCGCCCCTTCCCTTATTGTATCAACCCGCAAGTGCAGCGTCCATCTACTTCGCGTGAATAGTTCCCAAAACCCGCGTTGCCAGGACCGATGTCCCAATCCGACGTCCGAGCGGGTTCTTGCTGCGGGCTTCCGCTGCCTCTGAGGTTGCACAGCACAGGAACGCCACCCTACCCTTGCACACACCCCGCGGGCTCTGTGGAATACATGGCACCCGTTTCTTTTCCATGGACACGCCCCTCATCACCTCGCAGGCTCTGTGGGATGCATAGCACTTGTTCCTTTCCATTAACAAGCAGTCTGCTCATCTCGCAGGCCTTGTGGAACGCGGCCATCTCCGGGGATGCGAGCGCCGCGGAGGCCGCGATCGACTCCGGTGCGAACCTCGAGGTCAAAATGGGCAAGTTCCCCGCCACGCCGCTGAACGTCGCCGCCCAGGAGGGGCACATTGAAGTCGTCGCCCTCCTCCTGCAGGCCGGCGCGGACGCCAACGCGCCCAGGGACCCCGACGGGGCGACGCCCGTCTTCATGGCATCCCAATTCGGCCGCACGGAGGTGGTCGTGGCCCTTTTGAACTCAGGAGCAGATCCAGAGATCCGTCGGACAGGCACAGATGGCGCCACCCCGCTGGTGATCGCGGCGGGCCTGGGGCGGGACGGCGCTGTGGCCGCGCTGATCGACGGCGGGGCTGACGTGAATGGATCGAGGAGCTCCGACTCCGCGACGCCCCTGTTTGTCGCGTCGCAAAACGGGTATTCCCAGGCGGTGGATGCGCTCCTGGAGGCAGGCGCCGGTGTTGAATTGGGCACGGGAACCGGCGCCAAGCCCCTGATGGTGGCCTCCCAGAGGGGCCACGCGTCGATCGTGCGTACCCTCCTGGACGCCGGCGCCGATCCCAGCGGGAAGAACGACCGAAATGTCACGGCCCTGCACCTGGCGTCCGCCACCCTTGGCGAGCAGAGCGTGGCGATCGCGAGCACCCTGCTGGACGCTGGCGCGGACGTCAATGCGCGCCAGACCGACGGCTGGACTCCGCTGGTGTTCGCCGCGAGATTCGGGAACCTGGCTGTGGTGGAGCTGCTGCTGGAGAGGGGCGGGGACCCGGAGATGGAGGCCAACGACGGGCGAAGGGCAGTGGACATGGTCTGCGGCTGCCTGGACGCGGCGGGCAAGGAGTCCCTCATACAGTGCCCGAGAGGGAGCTGCGACTCACCGGACGCCATCGTGCTGGTGGCGGAGCTCCTGGCGTAGGCCCCATGCCCGGTGAGCGTGATGGGAGTCACCTCTTGGATGTATTGTCATCGGCAAACGCTTCTTGGCAATAAGAGTCAATAGATTCCTAGACTTTGTTCGTGTCTGATAAACATTAGATTCCAATGAACGGGTCACACATACTGCTTCGCTCGGGCAAGATAGGACGCTGACGGCTACCTCATTGCCTTCTGCTGCTGCTGCTGCTGATGATGATGATGACTCGTGTGCGGGGACCGAGGGTCAAAAAATGTAGTCACACTTTCATTAGGGTTTCATGAGGTTAGGGTAAAAACTGCTTGAGAGAATTCTGGATGAAGGCTGCGTGGAACTTTCCACGTTGTGAGGGGTGGTTTGCAGTCCTACTGCCCAACTCGGTGGCAGCTGGTTGCAGAAAAGGGTGCCCTGATGCAGTAAGCGTGGGCAGGTCAATGGACAAGGGGCATGTTGCACTTCACGCAGATGATATGCTCTCCATGGCGTTGACTT